GAAACCGTATATTATTGTGTAGGTTTGTGTATATTATGTTTTTTTTTCTATAAAACCGTTGGGTCGGCGTATAAGATTACCGACGGTCGCCACTAAATTACACGACGCATAACAATATAAAAACGTTGTTTTATATTAAACGTCAATACGGTACCTGGTGGACACAGGTCGGTTGATAAAGTATCTAATAGTAAGCTATACGGGTAAGCCGACTCGTACGGTTGACCGTATTTTGCGCTAACCGCCGACTATCGGGTAATTTTCTAAAAAAAAAAAATTATAATAATCATAAGAATATATTAAACTAGAACACATTTTTTACAGACCTCAATTCGTGGTCTGTTGGTTTTACACCGCGTTCTCGGCGCATATCGTATATAATTGGGCGTGCATAAACGAAAAAATACTATTTACATATTATTAAATGTATATTGTCTATACATATTTATATTTTAAATACGGTTATATCGGCTGTACTTTCACTGACATCGGTTTTGCTGTTGGTACACGTTGACCGGAACACGGATCGGTTGTTCTAACAATATTATTGTGTATAAGCGACGCATTTTACCTACACCCGCGACAACGGCAAAGCTAGCTGTAATAGTATTAAGTGTATTAATAATGGATTCGGATCGCGTACGCTCTAGGTAATAAGTATAGCTCTGTACAAGTTAGTGTACGCATAGGTATGTGGGCAATATAATATTGTATAATAATAATAATAATAATGAAATAAACGATCAAACACGGAATCGAGGCGACTCGAAGGCGGCTGTACTTAAGGCTGGGGGATAAGAGCGGCAACAAGAGTGGCGTCTGCCAAGTACAAGACGTCTTGCAGTAGACGATTTAACGTTTCCGGGAATCGTCAACGGCACACGCGCCACCGACGGTAAAAAAAACTAGCCGGTGATTTTTTACTACGTGTCATATATACCGTTTAGAGCTTTGAAAAAAATGCATTTGCATAATATGCGCGTTCTACCAATAGGATTTTGGTGAAACATTGCGCATAATATTATTTGTAATATGCTATGCACAGATGATAGGCTAGAAACAAAACGATATATACCTCTAACCTAACCTGGTCGAATGGTCGCCGGCGCCGCCAGCGGGTACTTAATTAACGTCGTCCGTATTAACGTCCGGACGGAGACGATGGCGTCATTTATCATCTAACTGCAAACACAGTATATTTCATATCATTATAATACTAACACTGCCGAGGTTGTATTTAAAAACCGTCGGCCGCGTACAATGAATTGTATTATATTATTAAGTATTACTGTTGTTGTTGTTGTTCTTGTAGTTGGGTACTTCGAGAGAAATCTGTCAGGTTTTTTATAATACGGTACGTTTAAAATAAAAACCGTTTGATTAATATAATAAATACCCGCGGAAGACGCGGTTCTTAAGTAGGTGCACTGTGTATAAATCTCGTTTGTACACATCTCTAGACCGTGTAGGTATTTCGTTCGAGTCATCGTCACTCGGCCGCGGTCAGTCTCATCTGAGTTCGGGTTAATGATAATCGCACGTAGGTAACTTAAGCGGGTGTACGCCATTCCTTTTCATTAAGCCGGCGCTGCGTAAGGGCTTTACCGATCGCGCCGAGTAAAATTCTTGGGCCTGACGGTGGAAATATGGGTTAAACCTGTACGGTTCAAGGTCGTGACGAATTCAAGTCCCCGAGGTTAATATAGATGGGAAGGATATAGTGTCTATCCACCGAAACGCGTCCTGCCCGCGTCAAATCGTGCGGAAATCTGTCGCAGTGAATTTCACCAGAGGAGAAGGGGGATCAGCGCTCCAAAATCCATTCCGGTTTTTTAAAAATATTTTTTTGGTCGTAAAGAAATAATAGTAATAACCATTAGCCCCGCGGTCGAGAAAATCGTTATAAACGCTGCGGCGGTCACCGTTCATCCCGAATTCCATTTTGTATTATATCTATACTGCGTCGATTATCGGTCGACTAGCGGACCGGTTTTTTTCTCCTTAACCTTACGCCGTATCCTCCGCTATAATAGTACTGATGTGCATAATATGGCTTTGAAAAAAAAACAACTAACCCGAGCCGTCGAACATCGAGGTGTCCGGCGCACGACGATTAGCGGCTTTCACGGGGCGGAACCCAAGCCCGACCGGCTACCGGTGTTGGCACCCAGTGACAACGCACCAATATCCTCTTCGTCGGAACTTCAGTTATAATAATTACAAACCGATTCGTGCTGTATTTTTAGTACAAATAAAAGATAATGATAAACTATCAACGATCCGCAGAAAACGGGTAACCGTGAAAAGGAACAATGAAAAATAAACAAGACAAAAGACTATCTAACAAAAAAAAAATACCAAATATTTAAAATAGAGTAAAAAATGGTATTTGCAATACTAGTAAACCCCTAGAACTAGTGCTCTTATATGTTATTTGAGTGGTTTGTCGGTTGTACAATAGCGTGACGATTGGCTCTTTATTAGGGCGTTTACCAAAGCTCTAATAACGTATAGCCCCTGCGCAAAGTAATTTTGTGCTTTATCAAAGGGCTTAAATAAGAACGAATTATTATATAGCTAGCTGAAACTAGATTATTATTTTGTTACATATAATTAAATTTGTTTATTTTATTCACTGGCGAATTCGTCAACAAACCAACTCACGATGGCAGCGTTGGGCTTTAGCTACATGTTTATTTTATTCATTGATATATTTATCCGGAATTTCATGACACTATAATATGCCAATAAAACCATTAATATTAATCGGTATAATATATTAGACAAGGCGCGCAGTGTTGTTTGAATAAATTACTATAAAATGATGTTAAAACGTTCACATGTGTTAGGTTTTTTTAAATAGATTTTTTTTACCATATTTAAACAACCAAGATGTAATACGGATAGAAAATAATATATTCGATAAAATTGGTTTAAAATTGAAAAACGCTAGTGCAAACATTAGTTAGGTGTTTTTATGGGGTTTTTTTTTTTGCGTTTTTCGAGAAGACTTTTCGGTTGATCCGTCAGGTTCCGTTCTGTAACCTCGTTGATGCCCCATCATCAAACATACGCACAAACCGGTTACTCAGTTGTTGTCGATGTTTAAACGATGATTACACAGTGTATTTGATCAAACCAATTATTTATAATATGGATCCCCCGATGAGTTCGAGAACCTATTATAATTATTATTATTATTATAACAAAATTCACCTATGGGTTTAAAGTGGTGTTATTATTTTAATAAAAATAATAATATTATAATTATTCATGTTTTACCTACTAGCCGGTCGACGACGTCGCCCGTCATAATGTCGCGCCCAACGGTAAACAAGGAATAGATTATACTAAGTATATTATAATAGCGACGGTGTTGTTTAAGCAAGAGTAACATCAGCGTTTTTTTCTTCTTATAATTTATTCCAACGCCGCAAAAGGTATAGGTGGCTATATCCGCCGAGCTAAGGAGATTAATCGACGGTGCGGCCAAACACATCCTTAACCGTCGTCGATACATAATATTTTTCCATAACGTGAAACGCCGTGGGACATGATTTATGTGAGCCCAAAAAGCCGGTTCTCGGTTGACACCATTTGAAAAGGGTACCGTTTCAAAATTTTGAAACTCCCGTACAGGTGAGTGTTTGTTAAGTCTAAATGCTACTGATTATTTTTATTCGTATTAAACTGTACATTCGAATGAAGAAAATTATGTCAAAATTAAGACGTGAGACCGTAGTAAAAAATAACATATTTTTGAGTAGCATAAATAAAATATTTGAAAATGTTTTATACTCAGATATCCAATAGTAAAACCTCAACACAAAGTAAATAAAACGAAAACCCCTATATTAACACTTAGTTTTGCATTTCCATTGTTGGATAGATCATTCTAATGTTATAGTTTTTGACGAGGAACAATGTTGGCGTGGAAAATGTGAAGGAAAAAAAATGCGGAAGACCATGTTGTACTTGACATGTATTTTGGATGGTACAATTCCAGGCTAGGGATTTTAAAAAGTCTTGGGCGGTACTAGAAAGTTCTATTATTATCACAGACCAGCAATAGAAATTTATTATGAACAATAATTGGTATATTAACCGTTATAATTTTAATATATTTTTTAATACTATTTATTTATATAAAAAAAAAGGAATCGTTCTACTTTTTGGCCGTGACATTGACGAGGACAGTTTCACGCGCCACGATTGTGTTTGGCCGCTGCGTTTTAGCACGTGGATGTTAGTTTTCTAAAAGGGAAACATACTACATTTATGTATGAACGTAGTGCGCGACAACCGACTTGTTTTTCCTACGACCTCTCGCATAACACCTATTATTGTTATTATTATATACTTGATCGACGTGGTAAAAAGAGTGAAAGCGAAAATTCTTGTGGAAACCGTCGCGCGCGCCGTCGGCCGATGATTTTCATATTATTATTTACCATTATCGCCGTACCAGCATTATATTTTAACGCAAACCGTGAAAATATCGCACAGTCTACAGGTTTTTTTTTTATCAATTCGGTCTACTTATACACGGCTGGTACCTATATGTGTGTATTCACGGATACAATTTGAAATCATTACTATCGCTTTATTTGTTACACAACCGCTCGTGTCGTTATCAACATTCGGCCGCGTCCGAGTATCGCCGTTTAACTACACCACTGGTAGTCGGTAGATATGCCCATTTCATATCGAACCGCAACGACCGGCGAGAATTTCTATGCGGATAGTGTGTTATGTAACGACTGCTCGTGGAGTTGTCGGTCGCCAAGCTAGGGGAAACGCGATTCGTCGTCGTAAACGATAAGCCTATCTATCATAATAGGATAGAGGGACGGTGAAATTTTAAAAAAAGGTAACATTTAAATAAGTCGCCTGATTCAACTGTTTTAATAGACTAACCTAACTGGCGGTTTGACCGTCTCTGGCGAACCTAATCGATTCCCTAGACTTTTGCCAATGATGTAAAATGTAATGGGACTTACCTCAATGTTGTTGACTATCTGTTTACAGTTGGCCGCCGACACGGAATCCTTGATGGACACGACCACGTTGTCGTAGCCGCCCGATCTGAAGACAGCCGAACCGGCCAGAACTATGGTCGCACAGCACCATAGGGCCGCCAAACACCGTAGGAACATTTTGAATCACTCGGGGGGCGACGAACAAAAAAATAGTAAATAGCGACGAGGAAGATAAAAATCAAGTGTACTTGTGTGATTCGCGTAAAACGCACAGTGTGTTCGTGTGTCTTATAGCCGAGACACGATCGGATTTTCCGTCTGCATCGCGGACGACCGGGTTAAGTCCGGAATGGGACGACGGGATATTGTGGCCGACCGTTGCCAAGTGACGAGAACACAATCACAATAAAACAAAATAGGTAGCAATCAAATCGGCACACGCGCACGAACTAGGATTTTGATTTTGACGCGACACCAAAAAAAAAAAAATCGTATAATTGCAAGGGTTCGATTACACTTAAATGCGCTGTTCCGTTTTTTCGTTTTTTCGGGCACGGGTCGCGAAGTAACGACACGGACTAAACGACGACACACGAACGAGCGTTTCCTTCAGCGGTGAAAACTGAACTGAATAGCCGAGTGCGCTGCCGTGAACAGGTACCTCTGTGCTGGCACCACGGCGACGTTGTCCACCGTTGACGCTGCATGGCGCTGTTGTCGGTTACACCAACCGAAAATAATATAAATTATATATATATTTTTTTATTATTATCGTACGCTTAATATTATGTTTTCTTGGTGTTTCTACGGGCGTATGGCTAGGCATAGGACGGCTCTTAACGGAGCAATAACTAAAAAACTTAGCGCTATTATAATCGGTAGTCCGTTAGAGCAAAAAAAAAAAAACGTATGCAAAGTAAAACGTATAATAAAAAAATGTGATAGTCGAGTTAGAATTGAAAAAATATAACGTACCCAGTCGCAGAGATTAACTTAAAAACGCTGTTTATTTAATCAATCGTACGAAAACTTAAAAAAGAATAACTTGCGAATCAAAGCAACTCCAACTAAATAAAGGCTGTAGTGTATAACGGCCGTAATGGGTTATTAATACCATATTGGCCATTGGTTTAATTCCGATTTAAATGTTAATTAAGTGCGCTATATTATACTAAAAGTAAAAACACCACATAAGTATAATATTTTTAAGAGTTGTGTGTTGGTAAATTTTTAAAATTTGATGTGGTCATTAACTTTTATGAATCGAGCCAAAAAGGTTCTACATAGTTGTTTTTAGATTAGAAAAATATGTAAAAACGTTTTTACAGCCACAGTGATAAAAAAAAAACTAATTACCTATAAAAAAATAATCCTAATTTATTGCTGTACTAATATTGTATACACTTCAGTTTTATCTTAGAATCTGGATTTTGTAAAAAACTGCCGGTAAAAAATTGCTCTATGGTCCTAGGTCAAATAGCTATATAATTTGTATAAAACAAACAATTTAAAATTTGTAAATTGTATTAGTGTGCATTAAGTGATTTATGTCAAATCATCTAGTATGACATAAAAAATGGTTTATCACGAATTATAGATTGAAATAGCACACTCATTATTAAACAAAAAGATAAAATTATAAATCAACTTATTTTTCTTACACATCTGTCAAATGTCAACTATTTTTAGCTTAAGTCGATTTCAATGCCTTCTCAGATCTTAATTTTTAGCTACTGTAGACACTGTACAAAAAAAACGGCAACAATAGATCCATACTGTTTTCTTTTGATAGATCAAAGCTCACATAAGCTCAGTTATGAATGCAAGTAGGATGTCTAAGAAATGTGAGATGGAATTATGCCTTTAATACAAGATGAGTAGTATTTATAAACTATATACTATATACTAGTGTTTCAATTAGTTAGTAGTAAGTAACCAAACGGTGGTCGGCATGTGAGAACTTGGACAAATAATAACAATGAAAGTTATATTATTGTATAAAGGCGCAACAGGGTGTCATAAAAGTAAAAAATATCAAAAGTTCACGTTTCGTTTATTGCAATTATCAAAAACAAGTATTGGTATATCCGCATAGATAATTATTCCCATAGGATAAACTATTAAAACCAATTAATACCATAGAAGTTATGGTCATTTGGAAAATTCAATTATTTTATTAGGTACAGTACTTCGTTACGGTATATCATACACGTTTGTTTTGACGTTTATGCATGCAAAAACTAAAATAGGAAGGTTTTGAAAACCAACGAACTAACCTAAGACCACCGTCACGCTTGCGAAACTCATTAAGATGAAGTAACGTACCGATGAAGGTACCTACTGCTGCACCTAAGAGCCGGCGGCAGGAAATGCACAGAGAAATCTCATAACTATTAACCGAGTAAACGAATCTTAACGCTTATATACTACCATAGTATAAGTATATACCTAGATAATGGAAGAATATTAGCAATACAAATTAAACGAGAAATATATTATATTAGTATAATAATGTATGCGTCACGGATAATCTGGCAATACCTGCTCAATAGTTGCAACATAAACGGTTTTGAGGAACTTAAAAGCGTTTTTTTTTAAACGATAATTATTCCAAAATAACCGATCATTAAAAGAAGTTTGAAAACGAACCATTATATTTCCTCTCCCCCTCCCCAACGTTATATTACATTATAGCAGATACTAGTAACGTGCACCTAATTTATCGTAAGAAATAGTTCGTGTGGACGATTATATTATACATGGGAAATGTAAATTTTGTCGAACAAATCGATTCGAATACGTGTTGAACTCTTTCCGTTTCATTCTCATCTACGGCTGGCTCCTGCTGTGAGCATGGCTTGGCAAATCGGTAACAGGACAAGTAATACTTTGTACTAATATTGTACATTAAAATGGAGTTAACGCGAGTAGAATATGATTAACAAAAAAAAAACTAAAACAACATAAAATCAACGTCTAGTCGGTTCCTAGCATACTGCATAGCACAGAAACAGATATAGGTATTAGGTACAATAATATTTTTGTTCATAATATTTTTAAGTGTACTGAAACCTGATAATCCACAATTCACAAACAAAAAATCATAATCTGTAAATCGATTATAATCGGTAAACATACCTTAAATTAATCAACATTTTATTGACATTATTATAACGTGGTTATTTGTAGCAAATAATTTGGTATTATAATGGGACATACCAACCTACTAATACTATTATGTAAAAATAATATTAATAATAAAATATATTAAACAAGTAAAATAGCAACGTGATGAAGGTTGTTATAGACAAATGTATTTCTTATAACTTACCTAGAAAGAAACATTTTTTTATTGCATCTGAAAACACTTGTAAAATACAACCGTAAAAGTACATTTGTTAAATTTAATTGTACAAATTTAACTACATAATCAATAAGAATTTCATGTTATTTTTTTTTTTCAATAAAGTAATATATTTATATATTTCCAATAATGAATAAATAATTAAAATTGTAGCTTATTATTGGGAATTACAATTGTCCAATTAGTTAAATACTTTAATCTAAACTCTAAAAGACTAAACATCTAAAAAGTCTAAGCAGCGCTGCATACTACTTGCGTCCCAAAAAAAAACTAACCTACTAATAATAATCTCGGACGCAAGTAGTATACACCGGTCTAAACTATTATTATCTATGTTTTATTTTTACCTATTGAACATATTTGATAGACAATTCTAAAGTTAAGTACAACCATACTTACAACGATACTTGCAATGGGTTAATTTTCAACTAATATCACTCAATAGGTAGGTCTTGGATCTTTTTGTTCGGACCATTAACATTTATTATAAATAATAAAAAAAATCGATTACAGCCTAGTGTATTACGTAAAACATCCATAATACAGTGATTGGTTCTATTGAACTTTAGCCTCGAGACCCATTTACCGGCATAGTTATATAATAATGGCCGTGTTTACCATGTATTTCGGTAAATGATAAAAAGTAATATAATTATTTTATAGCGATTTCAAACGGCGGATCATTGTGGGCCGTCGACCGGACTTTGGTTGGTATGTTATTGTCACGTCTACCTTATAGTTATGTACTATAGTCAATAAAATCGTATGGTCTAAAGCAGATAAAGAGCCGTGTCTCTATGACATAATCGTCCAGTTCGAGCTCAATGCACGCGGTATAAACACAGCTGTAGTTTATTCACGTGAAAATTCGAACACTGGGTAAATAATCGATTGTGCACATTATAATTAAACGAGTCGTCCAAATACCCTCGGGCCCGTGTCACGGACCACGGTGACCGTCCGGACGGGGGATGCGATTATCCGCGGTAGTCCAGTATAATATAATGCAGACTCGGCGTACAAACTTTATACCCGCTAAACCGCTAAGAATCTGTCACCGAAAAGACCATGCGACCTGACCGATTTTCACGGTCTGTGCCGTCGCGGTATTGTACATAGAAATGTTCTGTATACAGGTATATACATTTTACTGGTCGGGCATGGTAAGTATATACCTGTATTTTTCGTCCATAATGAATCGCGAACGTGCCCTAACTCCATTATGCGGTCTGCGGGATGCTCCGCTACCGCATTTGCTAATTTGATTTTGTTTACTTGGTTTTTTTTTTACAACTTTTTTTTTTATGTGTGAATTTCAACCCGATAATATCTTCTTTTTACTTTCCCGTCGCCCGCGCGCCAGACCGATGTTTTTCCTTACGCCGTCGACAGTTTTAACGGTATCATCTATACAATAATATAACGTCGTCTGCAGTTGGTTATAGCACCTCACGTTCAAACGTGGCAACGCTAACTGGACTGAGACCGCCGTTTTGGCTTAGTTACCCGACCATCACCTATATGCGTGCGACAGACCTAGCCGTCTGTCTTGGAACATGCTTTTTGTTTGTTGTTGAACGCGATTATGTTTACCATCAATAAATTAACTCGTTTTCCATTTACAATAAGCCAAATTACTAATTAGTGTTAGTTTTTTTTATTAAAAATAGTTTCGATTTTAGATTCGATCAATCTATAGCCTATAGGTAAGAGGTATAGTAAACATGCCGTGCACCTGACCTGTAATCTAAGCTATACATTATTTTTTGTTCATATCCATTTAACGAACTCGTATAATGCACATAAAATACTATAAGTTACTTGACGCGGCAATACTCTCACATTAAGACCCTTTCCCGTATGTCAAGAGCCCCTCGATTGTCTGTGGGGCGTACCGCGATTTTTATACCTGCAAAAATGCGCGCACCCTTGTCGGTGGAAATTGCTAACTACCTGTCGGCTTAATACATTTTGGCTAAGCAACGGCGTCGCATCGTCGTCATCATGTGTATAGGTAATCGAAACGGTTTTCGGTTATTTATTTTAACCATAGTTTGATTGTTTCTCTTTTGACATACTGTGTCTATGGTTTTCGGTGCAAAATCACTAAAAGACTATACAGCAATGAAATTCAATATTATAATGTACACCTATAGAAATGTTAGTGTAACTGCAGTTGACAGACTGCTATTTTCACAATCATACTACTTACGCTTGCTAACCGTCGTTGAGACGAGTTCCCGAACAAGCGAGTCAATATACGAGTGAATCTTCGCAAGCATTTAA